TCCTGCACAAGCTTGGCAATCTGAGCGTCGAAGCCTTGGGCCTTCTCAGCAAATTCCAGGCCTTGTTTGATTTCAGTTTGACTCTCGGTGTCTGGGATGGTCGAAAGAAGTTCCTCCTTGCGTTTAGTGTTGGCATTTATCTTAGCCTCTATTTCTTCGATTTGTGCCCTGAAGGAAGCATTCTCTCGATCGATGGCATCGACTTCTTCCTGCGTAGATGCTTTTTGCTTCGACAACTCCGCAATTCGAGAAGTCGTCTCCGAAACAGCAGTCCATGCAGAAGAGCTTTTGCCATATAACACCTCAAGCTGACTATTAAAGCCCCTTTGGCGCCTATAATCTGCTGAGACTTGATCAATCATGGAGTGTAACTCCATGATCAAGCCTGAAACTTCTGGAGCTACAGCTAACAAGTCGACAGCATTCAAAACATCCCTCAAGTATGATGGAGCAGTGGGATCCCCCTCTAAATCCTTCATCAAGTCCTTCTTGAAAAACTGGGCCTTAACCTTCGCCAAAGCTTCATCGAGAGGAGAGGTTTCAGTGGACTTCCCCGACAGGGTAGGAACCTCCTGACTAGCATCAGACGAACTCTTGCTCTCGATGATTGCGTTAAGATAGCTAACAGGGTCAGTTTGTTTCAAGAGTTCTAAGTCCTCTTTCGACCTGTGCTTCGTTGAGGTAACAGCCCTTGCAACAACATTGTCTTGGGTTTGAGGCTGTTGAGTGTTAGGTGTCTCGACTTGTTTCCCTTCGACTCGGACTGGGGCAGTACCAGCGTCATCTTTGTGCCCTTCGCCAGCGTCACCTTGGTGCCCTTCGCCAGTGTCACCTTGGTTCTCTTCGCCAGTGGCACCTTGGTTTTCTTCGCCAACATTGCCATGGTCCCCTTCGTCACGATTCTCTTCCGACAGATCCACCACCTGAACCTCTTTTGGCTGTTGTTCTTCCGTTTGAGGATCTTCTGCTGGTTTTTCTACCATCTCAGCATTGGCCTCATTTATTTCAGTATGGGCTTCGTCATTTTCCAAGCCTTTTTCTTGCGGCCTGCTGAGTTCAGCAGACTCCAGTGTTTCAGAGGTCCTTGGCGGAGAGCTTTCAGTGGTGTCCTGAAAAAGGGAAAAAGGAAAGAAGAAGAATCTTCAGAAGTCGAAAGAGACATAATCGAATGCAGGTATCTATACCTAAGTTACAAAAAGGTCTAAGAGATTACCTGTAAATTAGCTTCAGCCCCAGGGCTGGAATTGTCGCTTTCGACAGGCTTATTGAGAAGAACGTTTAGTTCCTCCTCCGTTGGCTCCTCAATGATCACTGGGGGTGGCCTGGGCTTTCTCCCAGCAACCTTTATTCTGATTGTTCGACCTTCAGGAGCAGGAACAGGAGCGTCCTTCATCAGCTTTCGCCTTTTTAGAGGAGCAGGGGGAGAATCATCTTCTTCGTCGCTCCCAGATTCGACCACCAGTGCTGGCCGTTTCTTGGGCGAAGGTGCCTAAAAAACCAATGGGAATTCGATTTAGCAATTGCATCGAAAGTCAAAAATCGAAAGCCAGAAGAAAATAATGAAAGTCTGGTTACCGATACAGAAGGCTTCTTCGAAGGGCCTTCCCCCTGTTGGTTGGTTGTGGCCTTCGCCGGCGCTGTAGTCTTCGCCGGCGGTCGAGGTTTTGTTGAGGGGCCTCCTCCCTGTTGGCTCTCTGTAGCCTTCTTGGCTACAGGCTTTCGAACGACTGAAATCAAATAAATAGTTAACGGGCTAGCAGTCGAAAGAGAAAGACAAAGTAATGTGAAAGGATGAACTTACATTTCTTTATTTTGTCCAACACAAGGACAAAAGATTTCTGAAGCTCATCCACGAAATCCTTCTCGTCGAAAAACTCCTCAGCGTAATAACTTTTCCACCACTCCTCGAAGGATGGTGAGCAAAGAAAGTTAAGCTGGTAGTCAAACAACGAGAGAACTGTTCGACCAGCATATCTTCCGATATGTTTAGTGGCAGCTTCTTCGGTGTAATCATTGCAGAAGTACAACATAGACTTCTCTCTTGGAAAAATTGGAGAAGGTAGGGTTTGAATAATACCAAACTGGCGAGATACCAGGTTTGGTTGGTATGCAATCAGACTCAAGTGAGTCTTAGAGCTCCTGAATCGAAGAGGCATGATCCTTGGTGTAAGGAACGCCTCCCACAATATTGTATGTTCGTCAACATTAGGACCACTCGACGTCCTTGGATGTGGCCTTGTGAACCATGCTGGGCCTACCTTCCGTCGAGCAAACGGAGCCATAGTCGAAGCAAACTCTTTCCTTCGAGCAAACATCAGAACGAAGTTGGTGAAAGTTTGCTGAAACTCCAGTCCATCTTCCATAGGCGTCAACAGAGCCAGTCTGGTTCCTTCGACGCGTCTGTTCGCTATCTCTGGAGCCTGCTCATTTATTTGAACTTTCTTAGGCAGGAAAGATTCGAAGGTGGCATTGAGCCACAGTTGGAGCAGCCAAAAAGGCCCAGCAAGTAGCAAACTGGCCCTGTTCTCGATAATTTTTAGAAGAGTCGCCCCATTACTAATCGAATCATAGAGGCTAGCCAAAATCAATTCCGCCAAACAGATATTTTGGCCATGATGGAGTTGAGTGGCGAGAGTGACCATCTTCTTGGTCACCTGTAAGGACTTCGAGCAAAATACAAAGCGAGTAAGCCATAAGGCTAGAAACGCTATGTGTTCGACATCCGACACAGCATCTGTCGACCTGTCGTGGTAATGATTGATGAAGGTGGTATAGGTTGGTTTGGTGTCAGAGAATCCAATTTGATCCTCCGACATCTCCTCCGGATCGAAGTAGTCCCCGGTGGGTCGAAGGCCAGTGATAGCGGCCACATCGAAGAGTGTAGGAGTCAGCATCCCACAGGGAAGATGGAAAGTAAAGTGGGAGTAGTCCCAGAAAAGTAGAGAAGCTATCAACATCTCCGGAGAATAGTTCAAACCTGTCTTCGACAGCATCACCAGGTCGAAGATCCCCATGTCTTTCCAGGTCGAAGCTTGACATTTCTCCATCTTTTCCAGCCAAGCAACGTAATCAGGAGTAAGGCTAGGGCCAGACCTGAAAGCCCTAACACCTTTGTTGAAGAAACGGAGGTCGATTTTTTCATGCGCAGGGTCTTCATTGTCCTCTGCGTCTTTCTTGGCGCATGCAACCGGTTTGAGTTTCTCAACTACCGGAAAATAACTCTTGATCTTCATGGCCTCAGCAATACTTGGATACAAGGGGCCAGACATAGCAAAGATCTGGTTGGAATATCCAACCGGGATCATAAGGTGGCGTGAGTAAGCATCACGAACGGCGATGTCCAAGGGTTCAGGGACCCTTCGTTGGCCCGTGGAAGTTACTACTGGAGCAGTGACGAAAACCTTAGGTTTGGCGTTTCCAGATGGTAGAGTAGCGCTAGGAGCATTGGAACCAGATGCCATTGTTAATGATGAGGTTGAAGACGAAGTGAAGGAGGAAAGGTTTTTGCAAAGATGACAAGTTTGTATGAAAACAGAGAAGTCTGAAAGCTAGATGGCGTAAAAAGTCCCACAATGGGGTACTTACTGCTATTTATAGTAGTGGGGGAAAATCCCCAAAACCGAGGACATTAAATGCCATTTAATGTAGCAGGAGATAGTGGGACACGTGGCATCCCCCTGTTGTTTTAGCCGTTCTGCAGAAATAGAGGGACGCAGCGTGCGTCCTCGTTTTTGGGAATTGTCATAATGACAAATTCTGAAATGACGTTTGGCACTGCACGCTGTGCTGAAGTGACGTCTTAGGTACGGATAAATGATGGTTTTCTTGGGATTGCCAGTGGTTGGTAGAAGACAACAAAAAGTGCATAAATTAATTTGTGACTAAGCGTGAAAAGACAGGTGTCGAATGGCGTTTCAAAGAATGCCTGTTTCTTTCAGGGTCGAAATAAGGCATTCTTGGGGGGCAATTTGTTGGCTCCTAAATTCGACACCCTTGTTTTATTAATGTCAGCCATTAAAGCTGAAGGATGTTTCGACTAGCCAGGTCCGTCGAAATGCCCATCGAAAGATGGCAAGGTACTTAAAAGATTTCTTCCAAGGGAGAAGTTGGTTGCCTTCGACGTCGAAGGAGTTTCTCGTCGAAGATGTCTCTCGACGAAGGTGTTCGACGGTTCAGAGTGGAGCAGTTTGAAATTCAAGCGTTTGGAGGGAAAACGGTTTCCAGCGGTTACCAGGTGCAACGTGCAAAGATCTAGAGCGTCGAACGTTGAGAACGTGCCAAGTGGAATCATCTCGAAGCAGTGTAACTGCCCGACGGTTACTTGGGATGTTTTAGTATAAATAGTAGTAGTCATGTAGTTTCTCGCGTGTGTTCACAATTCTATACAAAGTCACTCATATAGATTCGAGTACCCAGCGTGTGAGAAAGAATTGTTGAGAAATGTATGTGTGAAACACCAACTTTATTAATCAAAGTCATTTACTTTTCCAGAAATTTACTTGCTTTCTTCTTTACATTCCTGTCGAATCCTCTCATTTAAAGCCTTATTTATTTTACCAAGTCCTTTCTTCATGCAATTTATTTAAAACCTCTTTATTTTATTGTCATTTAACCCATATCCAATTTAATCCAAAACTTCAAAATCAACCTATGTCCTAGGATCAATCTGATCGATCCTGCGAGTAACCAAATAAGTAACTATTTGGAGGATCAGCGATTGTTTACCAAATACCAAGGTAAACAATCAGACCGCCTGACCTACCGGTTCTCGGTCAAACCGATCCGACCGACCGGATCGGACTGAGTTTTAAAACACTGCTATTGACAAAGCTAGAGAGCTTAATTGAAAAAAACTTTGAATTGAAATTGATTGTTACTTGTGGTGAAAACCTTCTCTAATTCGAATCTTGTTCTTTATGTAACTTGTTTTCCATCTTTTTATATTATTGGTTTTTCTTTCTGGCGCATTTGCGTGTCTCCATTAAACGGTCATGTCTTCAATGGAAGCTAACATCTCATCTTCCCTCGGTCTCCCATCTCCAAGCCCCACCGACTTCCCAACCTCACTCCCCAATTTCAATGGCCTCATCAACCACTTCACAACCCTCACTCTCACCCAAACCCCCAACCCCTTCGCCTCAATCTCCAACCCAACCCAGCCCCGGTCCAAACCCGGTCCAAAACCCCAAACCCTCCTAAAAAACCTATCCGTCTTCGAACGCGCTTTCATCGGCGCCGCAGGCGGAGGAATCGCCGGCGCATTCACTTACGCCTGTCTCCACCCTCTCGACACCATCAAAACCAAGATGCAAACCAAAGGCGCCTCGCAGATTTACAAAAATGCCCTCGATGCAGTTTCGCAAACATTCTCCACAAACGGTATCCTAGGGTTTTACAGAGGTTTCTCCGCTGTCGTCGTCGGGTCCACCGCTTCCTCCGCCGTGTACTTCGGAACGTGCGAGTTCGGTAAGTCGTTTCTCTCTAAACAGGAAAATTTCCCGAAAATTTTGATTCCGCCTACTGCCGGTGCTTTAGGTAATGTACTCTCGTCGGCGATAATGGTGCCGAAAGAGTTGATAACACAGAGAATGCAAGCCGGGGCGAAAGGTAGATCGTATGAAGTTTTGATTAAGATTCTTCAAAACGACGGTGTGATGGGTTTATATGCAGGCTATTCTGCTACATTGTTGAGGAATTTACCTGCTGGTGTGTTGAGTTATTCTTCTTTTGAGTATTTGAAACTCGCGGTTATGAGAGAGACGAACAAGAATCATTTGGAGCCGATTCAGAGTGTGATTTGTGGGGCGTTGGCGGGGGCGATATCGGCGTCCATTACGACGCCGTTGGATGTGGTGAAGACGAGGTTGATGACGCAGGCGCGAAATGAGGCGGTTGGGAAGGTTGCGGCGGTTATGTATGGAGGGGTTTCGTCTACGATTAGGGAGATTTTGAAGGAGGAAGGTTGGGTTGGGTTTACAAGGGGAATGGGTCCTAGGGTTCTTCATAGTGCTTGTTTTTCTGCATTGGGTTATTTTGCTTTTGAGACGGCTAGGATTGCGATTTTGAATGAGTATGTTAGGAGGAAGGGGTTGGAGGATGTGGTTGTTGTTTCAAGTAGTTGAGTTTGAGGGGTGGATTTGTTATCGATGCGATTTTGACAATTGATTTAATTTGAACCCTTGGAAATTTATGTGTGTAGTAGTTTACGGTTGATTTTTTGATATCCCTGTGACTGAATGAATTGTTGATTGCAATTTGATTTTAGATATGATATGGTTGTTTCTACGTGGATTCATTTGTTGCTAATGGATTGTTGATTACAATTTGATTTTAGATATGATATGGTTGTTTCTAAGTGGATTCATTTGTTGCGATCTTGAACGTCGATAGAATTTGAACGTTTGGAAATTGAATTGTGTAGTTTATTTATGATGTAATGAGTTGTTTGATTTGATATGAATGCTTTTGATTTTTTTATACCTTGTGACTGAATGAATTGTTGATTGCGTTTTGATTTTAGATATGATTCGGTTGTTTCTAAGTGGATTCATTTATTGCAATCTTGAACGTCGATAGAATTTGAACTGTTGATAATTGATTTGTGTAGTTTATGATACAAATTGTTTGATATGATATGAATGGTGTTGATTTTAGATATTTAGTTACAAATTTGTGGCAATGTATTTGGTTCTGTCATGCTTAATTTTCATGAGAAACTAAGCTGCTTGATTTTAATAAGGCTTTTTAATCATATATTATGGAAAGCGTGCAGCTAGAGTGCTATATCTAACCAGAAAACACCTTTCCCTTTGTAAAATGAATTGCAGATATGGACCACCATACAATCCTGACTCGACAAGTTTTATTCTAACTGCATTTTTCAAAATTGAATTACAAGTATTGTGTTTATGGCTTGCTGTACTGACCTGAGGCTTCTTAAAGTTCTATCCAAAAGGAGACAATATTTTCTTATATCTCAGAAGACTTCTCCCTGAGGCTTCAACAATATTTTGTTAAGTTTAGGTAATGGATTCTTTTTGTTGCAAATTTGACCTCTGATGAAAGATGATCAGTTGAAATTGGTTTGTTTAGTTTATAAGTAGGATTTATTGAACTGATATGAATAGTTTTGATTTTAGATATTGTCTCACTGAGAGTTGTTTATGGCACTTCTGAGTTTGTGGCAGTTCAAAGTTTTTAATTTTTATGAACACATAAGTCAGTTGACATTTATTATGCTTTTTAATCGTACAAGTGGAAAAAAAATTGCTGGAAATGTTAGCTATCTTAGTGCATTATATCATGCTTATTATTGTAGAAAATGTGAGACTAGATTGCTCTCGGCTAATAATAAATTAAAATAACTTTTTCCTTTGCGTTCCTTTTCTCTGCTTGCAATGAAATATTTTTATTTTGATACCCAAAAAATGATGCAGGGTTTTTGAGTTTAGAAATCAATTTCTACTAATTCTTTAGATTGAGCCATGTTAACTTATTTCTCTATAGATAGATTGATCATAATAGTAGGTATGGTTTGCAAAGTTATCTCAGTTGTGCGTGCTGAAGTTTAGGATTGATTTAAATGAATAATAATATTTGCTTATATATATCAAATGGCTTTCTCTGAGGGGCTGCAACATTTTATATTTATTTTATTTTTTTGTCAATTTTTAGTTAAAAAGAGGGAGTAAAATATTAGTTTTTTCTGTGTGTCCTGATGTTATGAAATATGTCTTGATATGTTAATTAGCATGCTGATAAGAGTGTGCTACCGCTAAGAGTAGAGTAGTGATTGTGATTGTTTGCTGTATGCAACTATTTAGGGGGAGCATGATTGTTTGTCATGCTTGTTTGTGTTGTTGTTGTTACTACTAGTGTGGTTGTATGTAGGATGTCTTATCAGATATTCTAACATCCTGTCTGTTGGAGCTGTGTGGAAAATTCTGGTATGAGGTTGTTATCTTCTGCTGCATGTGTCTCTGATGTGTGAACTTGGGTAGTTCATGTTTGATATATTGGATTTTCTGGTGATTTCGGTTTTCTCTTTGGAGGGGAGTCTTGGTCATATGTGACAAGGGGAGTTTGGTCCTCTCTGTGATGTCAGACTACATGTCTGGACATCTGTCTTGTGGAGTATTGAAGATGGTGATCTGTAACTGCATGTAATATCTGATATATGTTTCTATTGCAGTTTGTACAAAATTTACATGTAGTTTGTGTTGTGGTTTTATTCCTCTCTCCATGATTATTTTGAATTGATTGCTTTAGTCAATATTTACCAAAAGGAGATTGTTAAATCTATGATTTTAGGTTTGACATAAATTTTGCTAAAACATGGTTTTGGAATGATGTTGAACAAGATGTCATAACATCTTGACCAACTGTCATGACATGTTCTACTGTCATGCTTATCAGACAGATGTTGAGTCAGATGTCTTGATATATTGGTCTGTTATACAACAGACGTTGTTATATCTCTTGACATATTTGATTTGTTATTTAGAGATACTTTTGGATATATCTCATTATTTTGTGCATGTCAAGGAGATTTAGTAGAAGCATGTGCATATTTGATTTGGTTTCATTAAAAAGAATCTTGGAGACTTTTTAAGAAACTTAAAAAGATTTGTTCCTATTGTTATATGAAGATTTTGTAGCTGATTTAAAAAGTGAAAATTGGATTTCATGTGAAGAGTTTTAGCTCATTTTGCAAGAGTTTATAAATATGGACTTGCTAAACTTAAAATAGCAAGCATTCACATTGAAGAAATCGTGTGTGCAATATAAGAATTTAGAGTTTTTAGAGTCTTTTAAGTTCTTTGTGTTTATGTTCTTTGTATGTTACTCATGTATCTTTTGATACATTGAGGTTGACTGATTCTTACTTAATAGTTTATCAAGTTATTGTTCCCACACATGAGCTTTTTAAGAAAAGAGTTGAATATTGTTCTTATTTGAAGCTTTTAAGCAAACCTAAGTATTATTTACAAGGTTTGTGACTATAGGTATCACTGAGGTGATTGGAAGTGAGAGGGGATTCTCATATCTAGTAAGTTTCTAGGTAGAAGTTGCACAAGGTAGTGATAAGGAGGGAAGTTGTAAACTGAGATTGTTTATGCTTTGAACTAATCATAGTGAATTTTCTTTCTGGCTTGATAGTCTCAAGAGTATGCGATGTTGTACTGAATTGGGTTAATAATTGATTGTGTTGTTTAATTTTTTGTAATTTATTTTTCTGTACAATCTTCAGTTTTCTCTCAGCAGATGATGTCATAACGTTTGTCCTGACGTTGTGTTTTTGAGTTGAGACATCAGTCTTGACATTTGTATTGCAAATGTTAAAATTTCAATTTGCATCAGAGCATGCGCCATGTATGTTCTGTTTATTGGGTGAGGTCTAGTGAGAGTATTTTTTCTGGTACTATGGATTCCGAGGAAAGATTGTTAGACACTATTGTGTTACTTGAAAGTCAATTTAGTAGGGTTTTGAAGAGATTGAAAAGAAAGGAATGTCAAATGTCAAGATCATTTCATCTGACATCAGCAATAATCATGATTTCCAGAATAAACTAACAATTGAAGAAATGTCTAATCAAAGTAAAGGAATTTAGTGCCATGAATGTGAAGGATTTGGACACATTAGAACAAAATGTCTTACTTATCTCAAGAGAAACCTAGGGACTAGATGATGAATCTACCGAGGAAAAATCGGCTAAGACCGTGACTTTCTTAATAGGAAGATGAGATTCTAAAGCAGACTTCAGAAGTGAAGAGATATCTCATGATGAGTTAACTACTTTTTACAGAGAACTATGCAACAAAAGTGAGAAGATCTATCAAATAGGAGTAAAACAGAGGATGATCATAGCTAAACTCCGGACTGAGAAGAACAAATAGCTAGCTGATGATTCTGAACTCCAAAATAAATTGATCATGTTGACATCTAAACTTGATAATTTGATCAAAGGTGTTAGGATGTTGAACAATGAATTTGATTTGCTAGATGACATTCTTCAAGATGTGGAAGGAGGAAAAAGATATACTGGAATTGGATTTAACGATCAAAACTTGAAAAATAAAAAGAAAATCCATGAGATAAAGTTTGTCCTTGCTTAAATGCAGGATGAAAACAAGATGTCTGGTCAGATGTTACAACATCATGTCATGTCACAGGAAACTCAGGCCAAAGTTGAGTTTAGGCCTTGGAAATGTCAGTTTTATGGAAGAAGTGGACACTCAGAACAAGTTTGTTACAGGCTTCATGGATATCCAAAACATCCATGTCAACCTAGTGCAAATTATTTACTAACTAGGACTACAAAGGAATGCAAAGTGAGAATCCTACCATACACTATCATTAGGCAAACCCTTATAGAGTTAGAATCTCCTTTTGAGGGGTTTTTTTCCCATTAATGGATTTTTGTGAATTTGATGTGTTTGTGATGAAATTTGATGACATGAATTGGTTAGGATTAATGTATAAATGTTGATGAGTAATTAGTCTGTTTAAAAATATAACTTTTGATGTGAAAAACATGAATTTTGGGGATTGGAACATGGGAAGATCGTAACAAGCAATTGTCGGATTTTTCTCTGTTATCGCAGGATAATCGGTCACCCAAATCTGGTAACTGGTTACCATATCAAAAATTGAAATAGGAATAGCTATTGTCCTGCGTTAACTGGTTTTCATAAGTGGGTGACCGATTACCGGGAGGGATTTTGAAAAGAAAATGGTTACTATCTTGCGGTAACCGGTTACCACTGCTATTGACAGCATTTTTGGCAAACTTCTAAAACTCATAACTTTTACATCGGGTGTCCGTTTGACGCGCCGTTTGGACCATTAGAAAGATAAAAAAAATTTCCTATCTTAAAAAAATGGCTTATAATATAGTAGTTAATTATATCATCTACTTTGATACCAAACCGTGAGTGTGCTTTGATTTGTATGCCATGAATTATATTGTGATTATTTACGATGCTTATTTTGACTGTTTGACATGAAATACATGATGAGAATGATGACGATGGCCTATATTGGCAAAATTACGATGAGTAATAACGATAAATGCGAAGTACGTTGTTGCATGATAGAGTCTCATGCATTCATAAGCGAAGG